AGACCTTGTGAAACATACCTAGTCCTGAGTCCTCTGCCATATTATTCTTGATGATTTCTAGCATCAGACACTTGACTTGGCACATTCCCAGAAGTTTCACCGGTATTTTAGTCGGCATCGTGAGTGAGAGGCGTCATCATTAGCATATAGTTGCAACTTATCAAAGTAACTAGTGATAAGTTGTTAGTCTGTGCTAAGGATTGTGTCTCTGACGATGCCCACTATGAGGCAGGCGAAACTTATTTGAATCTGCCAAGTCAACTGTCCGATGCTATAAATCGTCATGAATATTATGGCAGAGGACTCAGGACTAGGAACGTTCCACAAGGTCTCCCTGTTGGTCCGACCAAGTTGCAAAAACAAGGTCAAACCAAAACTATACAGCTACAGAAGACTACGACCAAACAAAAGACCACACAAACATGGTCTTAATATTTACGAAAATTGGGCTTAATTTTAAAATATAAAAAATTATTTACTACAGCTTTACATGAATAGCATTCAAAGCTATTTTATCACATTTTGCTCAAGGCAATTTAAAACACTCGTTAAAGTTTCTCGTAAGTTGGAAACTATTCATGAATTAATTTGAGACGGAAAGGAGTTTGATAGCACTCATACCATCGTATTTGTCCTGCTTGTTTCTTAGCTAACGAGACTTTGTAATAAAGTGAATTCCAAGCGAAAAAAATCAAAAGATTATCACAATGGCAAGAGATGACATGGATATTACAAGAATGACGTAAAAAAAAGTTCAGCACTGTCTCCTTGCTTCTCTTAATACAATCAGAGTCGTCCAGAGCAGACTAAGGTAAATATGCTAACTTCATCTAATGACGATTTTCATACACTAGATTAGATAAACGACATAAATTAGTTGTTGGAGCTGCTTGGCGGTCTCTTAGCCCAACTTTTTTCAGAGCATGTACTCGTTCCTTTCTCCAGACAGTTGAATGAAAAAATGATTTCAATGTAGTGGCCAAATTCCATATTTAAAATGATTAAAAATTAGCATAAACTGGCATGAATAGACCCCCTTTAATAGCTTATTTGGCCCGGTCGACCAGATAAAGGCATCACTAACCAAATCTGTCTTTGGCGTCCTCTTTCGGAACATTTTATCCGCATCACGCACAAGTATGACAGAGGGATTCAACAGCTTTGCCACCTTGAATACCAGATGCATTAGCATCTTGAGGCCCTCGCGTCCAGGATACTTGCCCATCAAGTTGTCTGCTGAGAGATCGAAGAGGTTGGCACCTGTTGCTGTACAGACAGCATTTACTAGGCTGCGTTTTCCAGTACCAACAGGCCCGACCAATAGAATTGACTTGATGAGTGGCAGACGATCTCTCACGACTTGGCACCCAAGCGGGAGGATTGCGTATTCTGTTATCAGTCGTCTGACATCCGCAAGCGAAGGCTGCGGCTCGATATTGACCTGGCGTAGTGTGGTCCCCAGATAGGAGTACTCTCCAAGGTAATCGGAAATATTAAAGGGCGGTACAGGTTTGATGATGCCATCCATTGCCAGCTGTTCGTACAGAGATTCTAAGGAGCTGAAGCATATGAGAAATTGTTGGTAGTTAAGTATGCAAAGAGGCACAGCCAATTTGGCGCCGTTTAATTTTCATATAACATATCTCAATACACTTTAATACCGCGTAAGACTAACGCTTAAATTTCCTTACAACGGGCTTCCTACCGCAAACTAAAGCCAGGCATTAGAGTATATAAACCTTTTCGGAGGATAATTTGCATCTCAAAACTAAGAAGAAAATCGTCTCAAATATCCTTGTGTATTTGAACCAACGTTTGAGTATACAAGACAAATATAATTCGGCTTTCATTTCAAAGGAAAATATATGCTGCGAGTCGTAAGTGGATTTCACCGGAAACAAGAGACCCCTTGGAATGGAGACAGTTTTATTGTGAAAAGTCTTCTGCTCACCGTCTTGCAACTACGATGAAAGTTTTCGC